ATTACCATACTAATGTCCCTATCATTAATCAATTCATTTTTCAAGAGATTTTTCAAAGGATTTTTGTTTAAAATTTTAGGGTTTTCATAAGATTTATTTTTTTTTGTTTTTTTTTTATTTTATTTGTTTGTTGTATATTTTTTTATTTTAGCTAAGCAGTGTGATTATAATTTATATATATTTTATATGTATTTATTCCGGAAATAATTAAAAAAAAATTTAAAAACATAAACAATTAAGACTGCAACAATATACATTGTTGACTGATCCGAATATTTATAAATAAAAGTCGTGCACAACAATTAAATGAAAACACCGTTTTGTAGCTCAAGTTCACCAAAATTATGTATGCGAAATTTCTTTTCTTGTTTTCTTTTTTCTTTTTATCACAAGTATTTAATGCTGACTGCATTAATGAATTTTTTTTATCGTTCCTCTAAAATCAGTTTCGAAGAAAGAGTCGAATGATTTTATAAATGGAAAATTTGATGTGTAGAATATTTTGATAATAATGTCTGCCCACCCTATTATTCCCACCAAAGCAAATCATTATTTTTTTTTTGTCAAGGGCATACACGCTTCAATAATCATAGGTTGAGGGCCACTATTATAACTTCTTCTCTCATTATTAAAATTATTGTACAAGAACCTACAACATAAATTCATTGTAAAGGTGTTTTTTATGGAAGGATAATAATTTTTTCAAAGTATGTATTCGGCTATTATAATTAGAAAAACCGTTATACAGCATCAGACCGTTCTGGACTCTCAAACTTGTAAATTAAGACTTTCAGTAAGAACCAGTTAAATCAAGGTTTGCTAAATAGAGAATCGCTTTGTAATAATTGCCTAAAGTGAAAATAAAAATAATGAATATATACAAGGTAATATTGAAAATTCTGTATATCAAAAAAAAACAAAGAAAATAAGAATTTTTAAGCAACAGTTGCGGAAGCCCAAACCATTGTTAGAATTTTTTGAGGGTATATGTAATGCATTAACTCCAGAAAGACAGTGAAAGAAAGAAAAAAAGAAAGCAGATAATAACTATATGTAATAAAAAAATAAAGTTAAATCTAAACTTATACGGGGTGCATTAGATGATGTAGATGGTGACAAATTGATGAAATTTGTTTTATTTGTTGATTTACAATTAAGCACGCACGAACATTTTCAAATGTGTTTTCCTTATTCATCTACCATTATTACTTTACAGGTTTTTACTTTAATGCATTAACTTTCATAGCGCTTATTTCCTAAATCGTTCATGCAATTCGCTGATTTAAATAATCAGCCCCGCTTTGTTTGTTACAAGAACTGTTTATACACCTTGTTCCAACTCTTTGGGTCATCATTAACTATAATTTACTTAATTTGGCAGTTTAATAAATCCCTTTTTCTACTTCACTAAAAATCAAGTAAGTGCCGCCGCCACATCAAAATAATATTAATATGACAAGAAATTTGATATTTTTTTTCGCAATTCCAGTTTACTGTTATTCTTATTATCATAATATTTCAAAAATTTTCCGTTATATTTATTTATTTATTTATTTATTTATTTATTTATTTATTTAAATCTTTCATTTCGCTTGATATTACACTACTATCACCAGAGAGTCTAGCACTAACGGTGTTAAAAATTCCCCTTTACCAACTTTTTTTTTAGAAATTATTGTTACAAACACCATCCATCGTCACCATTTATTGAATAAAAGCTTGTAAACAAATCTATCTTCATATTTGAATAATGAACCATTGACTTCGGGAACATAAGCTATTTATAATTATAAATTTTTTTTTACGATCGTTAGACCAATCCAAATTTAATTATTTAATTTAGCTAATTAGCAAAGCGTAAATTTTGTTTGCAACAATCTATATTGAAACAACACTTGTAATTAATTAAGTGTACAAATGGAGAATATTTCGATAGAAGCATCTTTTGCAAGAGCAAATAAGTCATGGTTAAAAACTGCTAAAGATCCAGAGTCAAGATGTTATTGGTTAATTAACCGTTATGGAAAAGCACATTCATTGTTTTTCGCAGTATATTTTGGACCAAGTTTCATTAGTGTTGACTTGGTAAATTGTGCATTGAAAAACGATGTGATATTGTCGCAATATTTTCTTCAAGTACTTAAGAAATGTTGCGGGGGGTACGATGAAAGATTAATTGAGCTTAGGTCTGATTATAGTGACTTTGAAAAGTTGTGGGGCTCAGATTTACCACTAGATGTCTATGAAAAATTATTAGCAGAAGGAAATCGTAGATGGAATGAAAATTTTTGTTTAAATGGTAATGATCTTGAAAAGTTTTGTTCCTTGAATAGGAAGAATGCAGAGAATGTATTAAATGATATTAAAGTTTTGATTTTGGACAAAAAATTCATCCCAAATCCAAGGAAACCAAAAATTTCCTATAAAAATTTTATTGATTTCAAAAAAAAACAATCTCAACCACCACTATTACCGCCACCACCACCATCTCAACTTTTTGGAGGATCTGCTCAGATGACTGATGCATTTGAAAGTGAAGAGACATTGAGAATAGTGTCTAGGGCAATTATTACTCACCCAGAATTAGTTGAAATTTGGAAAGGAATTGGTTATGAGTCAATTTGTTATGATTATAGTGATCTGGTTTTCCAGATTTTATATACTGATGTTGCTACTTCCGAACATCTTACATTAGAAATAATTCTTGCAAAATCACAACATTTCATCAATCTAGGATTCAAGTTAACAAAACCAGCAATGGTTGATATAATTTGCTCCTTTAAAGACAGATTGAACATAATTGGTGAAATAATCATAAAATCTTTTCAAAAAATTAGAAATAAAAATAAATCCACCATTTTAGAAGAATGTTTGTTTGAAATCATTGGAGGTGGAGGGAACTTGGAGCAAACCACCTGTGTTCTAGATTTTTTATTTCAACAAATTGAAGGAAGTCCAGAAAATATTTTTCTAAAAATTTTAAAACATTATGGAATTGGAGAAACCAGTGTTGCAAATGTTAATGTTGATGATGAAAACTTGGAAGACTTGAAACTTTTTTCGTTTGATTTGTGTGTTTATCAATGGATATTGAAAAGTTTCAAGCCTTATCCAATCATTATATCAAAATGTTTTGTTGAAATTTTATTAACTAAAAGTTATTTTGATTCAAATTCTTCAATTTTAACAAGTAATCCTTCCAATTTCTCTACTTTAGTTTATATTCCATTTATAGAAATATATTGTAATTATTACAATTATTACCATACTAATGTCCCTATCATTAATCAATTCATTTTTCAAGAGATTTTTCAAAGGATTTTTGTTTAAAATTTTGGGGTTTTCATAAGATTTGTATTTTATTTTATTTTTATTTTACTTATTTGTTGTATATTTTTTTATAATTTATATGTATATTTTTTTATATGAGACTATTATTCCTCTGCAAATAATTAAAAAAATTTTATAAATATAAACAATTAAGACTGCAACATATACATTATTGACTGATCCGA